GGCCGGCGGGCCCGGCTCCTCTGGCCCACGGGGCACCGCATCGGGCGGTGGGGAGCCCTCGGGGACGGGCGGTACCGGGGCCCTGGCTGTGGCGACGGCGGGACGCGGTGACGGCTGGCTTAGGCCCGAGGACGCTCTCCTCCCCAAACTTGCCGGCGTGGGCCGCCGGAGGGGACGGGGCTGCCGCCTGAGGACCTGCCGGGGCCGCGCCGGGCTTGGGCCGGGCCCTGGCTGTGGCGACGGCGGGACGCGGTGACGGCTGGCTTAGGCCCGAGGGCGCTCTTCTCCCCCACCCGCGCGCGGCTCTCCTCCCCAAACTTGCCGGCGTGGGCCGCCGGAGGGGACGGGGCTGCCGCCTGAGGACCTGCCGGGGCCGCGCCGGACTTGGTCCGGGGTGAGGACGTCCTGCCTTTGTCTGCGGGGATGCTCGCTCGGGCTCTGCCCTGCACAGCGGGGTGCGGCGAGAACGGCATAGGGTGTTTTCCACGCTTCCTTAACTCACCCAGGTGCGAGGGCGCACCTGTGCCTTCAGCGTGCTGCTGCACCGCCGTGGACAGCCTCCAAGTTCGAAGTGAATTTAGCTGGACCATCTTTTGGGATAGTCCCAGCTTCTCTCTTCATCGCTCTTGCTCGTTACGAGGTATATTGGCGGTCAGAATGTGTTATTAATTACTTGTGGCCTTGACTTTGAAGCACATCGTGTACTAATTACATAACGTTTGGTATGGAGGTTTTGAGTTCTGGAAAGCACTGTGGCATTAAGAGCATGTGAAATTGTCCACTGGAACATAGTGTGAACAGGAGGAAAGCTCTCAGACTTAAGATTTGAAGTGAAGAAAGAACAGACATTTAAATGATCTTTCATTAGGTTCACAGTTGCTTGAAATATATTGCAGTTATTGTAGAAAATACCGAATATAGAAAAATAATTTGGAATATTCTTTGCAATGTTTACATAAAGCTGGCAATAACAGGCAATGCCTTGTGTGTGCGGTTAGCTTATTCACAATAGCTTTTTGGAGGCAAGAAGAATAGTGGGTTATCGGCTGAGAATATTTCTTCTGTCAGGGGAATCCTTTCATAAAATAAAATTAATTAGACTTGTCTGGTTTTTATTCCCCAAGACATCCAGTTTACATATGTGTTGGCAAGTGGTAACTGTTGGTTACATGCCCTGTACAGGCCTGTATCAACCTACAGAGAGATGTATGGCTGTATTGCTCTGTAGGCCAAGCACTCTTAAAAGCTGGCTCAGAGAGCATGTTAGAAGATACAGCCCAGCTTCTCTAATGAGTTAAAAAGGTACTCCATGTTTGTTGTAATGTGGTAAGTTTCAAAAGTTTGTTATGCAAGCTTGATCGTTCAGATTATGTATCAAGAACTATCTGCTGTTGTTTGGTTTGCTTATACTTCTGTATAGCTCAGATAGTTTGTAACTGAATGCCTTGAACAGTTCAGCTAGAATTCTCAAAAAGCTTTAACTGGTTTCAGGTTGAGTATCTGCTAACCACAGGTAAATTTGAAGTGTGGTGAAGAAGAGTGCTGTCAGATTTCAGCCTTAGAGGCACTGTTATCTCATATGTTGGGATATCTTTTATTTTAGGTTTTGAAAAGCAGTTAAAGCCCCTTAGATTCTTTTCCCTTACACTTGTTTGAAAAATATTTTGGGGGGGAGGAAGTAAGGTAGATTGGGGGGGGAGTGTTTTGATTTCTGCTTCAGCAACAAACTGCTTCCTTATCTGTCGCTTAGTCTGGTTGTGCTTCTGTTCCCTTCCTGTGCTATAGAGGTAGCGCTTTCTTAACATGCTGTTAGAAGCACATCTTAATGGCCTACAGAACTTGTATACTACGATGGTGGGATTCATAACAAATACCTAGGAGACAAACTCATGGTTGTTTGGTTTGGGTTTTTTTGTTGTTGTTGGTTTTTTTCTTTCTTAGCTGCAGGAGCTCCCAATAGGAAGTGGAAAATGTTTCTTGAACTCTTGATCAAGAGTTTCTATCTTGCCAGGCCTTACATTTGAGTAGCTTGGTTTCCTCAGTTGCTTAAAAAAATGGTAAACAGCATGTGGCTTTCAGTACAGCCTGTGATGAGGCTTGCTCACTTGACAACATTAGAAAACATAATAGCTTTACTTGTACGAGAAAGAACAAGACTACTGGAATAACCCCTTGATCAGTGATAGCGGCACATGGCTACATGATGTGAGAGATTCAGGCTTCTCATATTCCAGATCCAGATGTAGATTAGTGGCTCATTAACTCTTCCAACTTGTGTGTCATTCCCCTTCACAAGCCATACTTCTGCAATCGAACATGTTGCTACCCACAGGAGGGTTATGTCCCTAGTTTTGGGCTCTGCTCTGATCTGTCGTATGAGTTCCAGGTACATACCCACGCCCCATCTCTCTGGTCTGGCTGGGTTTTTTTTTCTTCCTTAGGAGTAACAGCAGTTTCTGCTATGGACTCAAGAAGCCTATCTGAAGAATGTTTTGGAAACTTCTTTAGAAGAATCTGTTGTTCCTGTGAAAAGCTTTTTGGGGTCTTTTTTTTTTTTCCCCCCATTATTTTTATCAAAAAGTTTCCAGTGGTCTCAGGTCTGCCTACATAGCTTAATCTGCTCTCCCCCCAAATATTTGAATGAAGCAGGAGACACAATCTACAAAAAAATGAAAGCTTTCTGTTTTAAAATCTAGTTAATTGTTAATATTGTAGTGTCTGAGCAGAGCTTTCCTGGCAGCTTTTATAGTTTCGTACTTGCTTTCAGTGTTTTTTTTTCTGAGTGTTACTCTCCCATTTATTTGGGAGAAGATGTGGCTGTGCACTGCTGTAATCCCATGAGTGCTTGTTGCTGCTTTGCTTGTGAGGAAGATGGCTCTGCTCTTCCCTGGCAGCTTCTTCCTCTTCCATGTTTTCCCCTACTCTTGTGCTTTGTAAGCACTTAAGCAGCTACGCTTAGGCCACAGTTAGACTGATCTGCATTAAAACTAACCTGGCTTTTGTTCTAGGTTGGAGTGAATCTACACAAAATAGCCTGACAGTCTAGTGTTCTGCCACCACTGAAAGAGTTGGTTGTACTCTTCCCCTTCCCTCTGTGCAGGGAGCATAAATGCTGGTTTCCCCAGCCCCCTGACCCAGCTGGATTGTTGGCTGCGGTGTGATTCCTTGGTGCCATTCTGGTGCTCATAGACTTTGAACTGAGCTATCTCAGCACACTGACCCACCAGAATTTGCTCACTGCTTTGTGGAGTAATTTTATTCCTGGGTTGAACACCAGCGTCAGCAGCATGAAGAAAGCGGATCCGTGACAGTCCAGTTTGGTTTGGAGGGATAGCTTTAACCCAGCTCGGTTCCTTCATCTGGGCTGCCCTTGCAGCTACATAAATGTTTGCTAGCACAAGGACTAGGGAAAATGTACAGAAATTAATAGGCAGATGCCAAAGGAGGACAGGAGGGCTTTAGCAGTAGTGCTGGCTTAATACACTCAGGGAATTGGAGTATAAGGAAAGTAATGCTGCTGATCATGTGCACACAGCGGTCCAAGTAGCAAAGGATGCTATTTGAAATAACAGTGCAATAGAGATGCTGCTAGGATGTCTTTCACAGTGAACCCTAAAAAAAGTAGCAGGTGCTTCTTTTATTAGTATGTAATTACCAGTTTGTTGACAGATAAGTTTTTTTTAGCTGTTGGTTTTCCTTTTAAAATTATGATGGAAGCTTAAATTACCCAGAACTTGCCAAGGGAAGAAGGATCTCCTCATAACTGGTATGTAGGCAAGTGGTTGGTTTGTTTGGATTTTTCCCCCAGCAATTCTTAAGAAGAATAGCATAGCTAGTTTAAAAAGCTAGTACCTGTATTATAAACATGGCAGTGGTGACATGAGCTTAATCTTTCTTCCCGTGGAAAGAAAGAAAAACAAAATAAAAAAAAACCCAAAACCTTAACTGTGCAATGTAAAACTCCCATGTCCATATCACTTGATAACTGTTACCTTAAACACATAGGAGTTACTAATTTGTGTACCTTGCCCGTTCCTCTGATATGCTGCACACAGTTGTATGTATGGTGCGTCATGTAGGGAGCGTTCACTTAAGAGAATGTAGAGTAAGAATGTGAGTTGGTTGAGTGGATTATGGTTGCCTTGGGAACTATTATTTTGAATTTTGTGACTATAGATGGTTAAATTTGTGGTGAAGAACACTGATATTTTCTTAGTTTTCCTTGTAACCAATGAAAAAAGACTGGATACTTAACACTAGTTATGTATTCAGCATTTGATAAGAAATAAGGCTGGGTTTTTTTCCTTGCTATAGTTTGCCATTGGTATTGTACTTGTTAAATCTAGAGCCATGATCCTCTGGGAAGCGTGCAGACAAACTTCCTCCATATCTTGTCTTCTGTAGAGAATGGGAAAGAGAATGGAAATTATTTTGTCTGTGTTGCATGTGCATATTTTGTTACTGTGTTAAAATGATTTGCTTTCACTCTGCTGTTACATATGCAAACATAGTGAGTTTGCAGTCTTAGATGATTAATTTTTCCACTCACCTTTCTTAATCATAGCTTTCTTGAGGATTAATCTTTTGTTGGTTTCATGACATGTATTTTTTAAAGCAATCTCCAGCTCAGTAAGCTTAAACAAAAGACTCTCTGTTGAAAAAATGCAGTGCTGAGTGATTTTGTAATTCTTTGCTTTACGACAAAACAAACCTTTCAATTTTAGAGACAAAACGTAGAGTGTCAGAGAGAGTAAGAAAATGGGGAATGCATAAAATGAATGACACTATTTTACCCATTATTGAAATGGTAGCAAAATTGAAGGTTGGCAATTAATTAGTAGAATTGTAGTACAGTAAGATTGCCTACATGCAGTTGTGGTCTTTCATTTGATAATATGCCAGCAGTACAGGATTAATCTTGGGTATACATATGCTTCTGTGAAGGCTTTTTTAGTAAATGAGAGAAAACATGTCCAGTGTCAAGAGTTTCTTAAGAACTGCATTTCCTATCTCTTTGTGCCATTGATCTTTGTGAATTTCAGTTGCCTGGAAGAGTTGATGTGTGCTTGTATGTACTTGGCAAAAAGGGATGGGAGAACACAGCAAACAAAGAAATGAACTAGCATGTTCTTTGTTTTGGTTATAAAATGACCCAATAAAATTATTTGTTTCTCTAAATTGTTTGTTTGGGTTTTTTTTGGCTTTGAAATCAACTTAGGCAAACAAGTGACCTTCACTTTCTTAACTGTAGCTTGTTTCTGCTTTGCATAGGTAGGTGTTCTATGTCACTTGCACTAGCAAGCAGTCAAGAATCTGTGGGAACTGCAAGCCTTGTGTTTTTATGTAGTGTATTCAAGCTTTTCTTGAAATAAGTTTCTTCTGTTTGCTGGGTTAATGTCTGGAACATTAAATGAAGAGTGGTTTTTTTTCCCCTTGCAAGGAATAGTTCTGGTGCCAGTGCGGTGAACTGGCCACAGCAGAGGAACCAACAAGGCTGTAGTCAATTTAGCACCTACAATGATGTTAGCAAAGGTTGTCACTTCTGTTTCCTGTGAAGAAAAAAAACTAACAATTGCACACGAGCTATGGA